AGGCCCCATGACCGGACCCAAAAAAAAAAAAAAAAAAAGGAATAAACTGATATACATATGGGTCTGGGTGCCTGGCAGGCACAAATTGCTGGGAAGGTGGCTCAGTGGTAGAGTGCTTGCCTTGCATGCATGAGGCCCTGGGTTCAATTCCTCAGCACCACATAAGCAGAAAAGGCTGGAAGAGGCGCTGTGGCTCAAGTGGTAGAGCACTAGCCTTGAGCTGAAGAGCTGAGGGACAGCGCCCAGGCCCAGAGTTCAAGCCCCATGACCAACAAAAAAAAAAAAAGAAAGAAAGAAAAAGAGAGAGACAGAGACAGAGAGAGAGACAGAGACAGAGAGAGGAAAAAGAAGAAAAAAAAGAAAATTGTGGTTTCCCAAGGGGGGTGAATGCTCCTGAGCGCCACCTCTCTGCACCTGTCTGCCTCGCTGTCACCTCTCTCTGCCAAAGGGACCAAGCCCCTCCCACAGCAGCCGAGCTGCTACTTTCCTTCTGCTGCTGTCCTGCTTATCACAGGACTACCGTTATTTCTTTCCCACTAGGGAAGCTTTGGAAGTCTAGAGGACACGTTTCTCATCCCACACACCCTTCAGGTCCCCAGAACACAGCTTGCCAAGATCTTCTAGAATTTGCATCTGTCTCAACAGATACCTGTTTCATTTTAGAAATGCAGTAGCCAGGCTAAGGCCTTATGTTTCAAATGACTCCTACATACCCCGGGGATAAAGAAGCCATTTCAACCTTCCCTCTGGGTGCATACAGAGCACCAGGTCTGGCCCTGTCCGCCCCCAACATGAGGAGCCCCAGCACACAGGAAAGTCCCTGAGGTGGGAATCTCAAGGCAACTGCCCATCCTCGATGCTGTGTTCGACAGAAAGGAGTGACTGGACCCACACGTGGCTGGCACTCGGGCACTCAGGCAGCCCAGGGCCAAAGCCCTGTGCCGCAGACAACCCTCCACAGGCATGGCTTCAACGCCACGTGCACCACGATAGAGCCCCCACTCCTTCACATCCGCAAACTACATCAGTGGCATGAACTACCCCCTCGAGATGGGCAGCCTCAACTCCTGGAAAACTTGGGGAAATTGTCCGTGTGTGTATGTCTGTGTGTGTGTGCGCGCGCGCGCGTGCGTGCATGTGTGTGAACTTGGGGAAATTGTCCGTGTATGTGGGGTGTGTGTGTGTGTGTGTGTGTGTGTGTGTGTGTGTGTGTGTGTGTGTGTGTGTGTGTGTGTGTGTGTGTGTGTGTGTGTGTGTGCCAGAATAGAGCTTGAACTCAGGGCGTGGGCTCTGTGAGGGGGGCGGGGGGGGGGGGGGTTGCGCACACGCACCAGATTGAGGCTTGAACTCAGGGCCTGGGCACTGGCTCTGAGCTGGTTGGCTTGAGGTTAACACTCAACTACTTGAACCAAAGCTACATTTCCAGCTTTCTGGTGATTAGCTGAGGATAAGAGTGTCACCCGCTTTCTTGCCCAGACTGGCTTTGAATCATGACCCTCAGATCTCAGCGTCTTGAGTAGCTAGGACTACAGGTGTGAGCCACCAGTGTACGGCTCAGGAACTAGCTTTTAAGTTCAGAGAAGTTAGGGAACTTTACTCTGAGTATAGCAAAGTAGGCAAGGGATCCCATGGTCCCTTCATTCCTTTGGGACCTGGACCTCCAAAGCCCAGGGCCAACAGTTACTTGACACAGGGCAATCCCTACACAAGAACGGCCTAACTGCAGGAGGCCTGCAGCACAGCGGGCAAGGTTGGAGGCACAGAGGACCAGGTCCCTCAGGCTGTATCAGAGGACAGATGAGAAGCCACCTGCACAATGGTTTACAGCACTTTTACAATGGGCAGAGCATGGCTCTTTTTAATGATTTTGAATTTCAGGGATATTCCAGAAAAACCTGTCTTTCCTCTTTGTGGCTCATCCCACCATAGCCATCGCTCTGATCAGAGGGTAGCAACACCACAACCAGACTGCTTCAGGTCTGCCAACACTTGGAACAATGCAGCGACTGTTCATTTAGATTGTTCAGCAAACACAAATCATGCAACATTAAATTTAAGAGATGCAAGGATAACAAGCTAGAAGAAAAATTTCCAATTAGATATCCAATGACAATAATAAATTAGGTTGGTTTACTACTTTCAGTCTGTGCATGAAGCAATCAGTGAGAACCTTAATAACAGCGCACACTTTATCCATCTTCACTGTACTCAATCTCCAAAATAAACCCATTTTTCAAATGAGGGAACTGAGGCTCAGGGTCATTGCGCAACTTACCCAAAGTCACCAACTAGTAAGAGACTGAGATAGGCCTTGTCTTACCTGGCTTCAAGGAGGCTCTATACTTCCAGAGATTGGAAGAAAGGAATAGAACCTAGTCCTGCTGGCTGGGGCCTCTAGCTACTGGAAGAAACATAGACCCTGAGTGTTCAAAGACAAGAGCTTCCTCCAGGAAGCCTCCTCACCATCTGCTTTACTCTGGTTTAGTAAGAACTCCTTTCTAGGTCTGCTCTGTCCTTTGGCCTTTGAGCACAGCTCATGGCCCAGGGAGGCCCTCAAAACACAACCTGCTCAATCAATAATGAATAACCCAGCAAAGTTCCCAAGGAACAAAACCAAGCTAATCAAGTAGACAGAAAAGAAAAAATCAGGAGAGGATTTCAGTAACGAAGTTCCTAAGTTACAATAGATTTTTAAAAACAAACAAATGCATCCAAGCAAAATGTTATCTAAATATTACTCAAGTTTTATAATGAGTAATACTTTTGGTTTTTTGTTTGTTTTGGGTTTTTTTTTTTTTGCTGGTACTGGGATTTGAACTCAGACAAGCCTAGCTTGCTTGTCTTCTCCCTGGCTTTTTGCTGGTTATTTTCGAGATGGAGTCTTTATGGACTTTCTTGCCTAGGCTGAATTCAAGCAAGATTCTCTAGGTCTTAGCCTCCTGGTAGCCAAGATTACAGCCAGGACCTACCATACCTAGCTATAATGAGTAACATTAAATATCAGATGCTTATAATAAATATAAACACCGAGAGAAAATTTAAATGCTGACAATTTACTGTTCCTAAGTAGAAACCAAAGAGGCTAAGAAGATGGCAATAGGCTGTATAATAATATTATAGGCTGTATAATAATATTACAGGATGGATAGGCAAGCCAGAACTCGATCAAACCAAATAATCTGTAGAAGAGTACACCATAGAAGCAGGGAAGTAAAAACAAACCAGATAGCAGAAAAAGTAAAGCCATCTTCAAATTCCTCTATCTCCTGTCAGATTTCAGATTATCTGCTGCTTTCCTGTTTGCCTACCATAAGTGAAAGTATACCCTCTGAAGTAAGGCATTACATCAGTGTCCTGAACTTAATGCCATCTTGACAGTTTTTCACAGTTAATACTTGTCAACCAAAAACATCAGGCATACTAGCAGGAAAGACAAAAGGAACAAAACTAAGAGAAAAATGAGTCAGTAAAAAGACATACAGAAGAACCAGACACATAACTTTCTGACACAGACTTCAACATAAATATGCTAACTACATTCAATGAAACAGTGTAAGAATAGAGCCTTTGGAAGACACCTCAAATGCTTAAAAAGGCTAGGATTATGCCTGCCATCCTAGCTACTCAGGAAGCTGAGATCTGAGGAATACAGTTCAAAACCAGCATAGGTAGGAAAGTCCATGAGATTCTTACTTCCAATTAATCACAGAAAAAGCCAGAACTAGCATTGTGGTTCAGGTGGCAGAGTACTAGCCTTGAGGAAAAGAAACTCAGAGACCGCACCCAGAGTTCAAGTCCCAGGACTAGCCAAAAAAAGAAAAAGAAAAAAAGCAGATGAAAGAAACGAAACCAGTACAACGTGAAGGATATGACAGTTAAAGCACATATCTACAGAAATGAAGACACATGTCCTGGGTGCGTGGCTGCTGCCTGCCACAGCACAATGCAAGAATGTTGGCAGAAAGCACTACCCACCTTCTATAAATGTAAGGAAAAGCTTAAATGTAATTTAAAAAGAGAGAGAGAAACAGACCAAAATATTAGCATTCTATGTTTTGAAGTAGCTGACTCATGGCTGCTTTTCAATTCCTTTAATATACTTTCCTTTATATGAAAAATAAAATTAAGATTTTAAGCCAGGCGCCGGTGGCTCATGCCTGTAATCCTAGCTATTCAGGAGGCTGAGATCTGAGGATAGCAGTTCAAAACCAGCCCAGACAGAAAAGTCTGTGAGATTCTTATCTCCGAATAACCACAAGAAAACCAGAAGTAGCCGGGCGCTGGTGGCTCACGCCTGTAATCCTAGCTACTCAGGAGGCTGAGATCTGAGGATCGTGGTTCAAAGCCAGCCCGGGCAGGAAAGACCGCGAGACTCCTATCTCCAATAAACCACCAGAAAACGGGAAGTGGCGCTGTAGCTCAAGTGGTAGAGCACTTGCCTTGAGCTGAAGAGCTGAGGGACAGCGCCCAGGCCCAGAGTTCAAGCCCCACGACCGACCAAAAAAAAAAAAAAAAAGAAAACCAGAAGTGACGCTGTGGCTCAAGTGGTAGAGCACTAGTCTTAAGCTGAAGAGCAGAGGGACAACGTCTAGGCTCAGAGTTCAAGCCCCATGACTGACAAAAAAAAAATTTAACAGCTAGTGGCCAGGTTCAGTGGTAGAGCGCTCAAGCATGAGGCCCCGAGTTCAAACCCAGCACCACCAAAACTAAATTAAGTAATTCAATCAAACAAAAATTTCTAATTTTTCCACAGTATCACAAAGAATCTTAAACTCTGTTCGAAATTGTTAATATATAAACCATAACATGGCAAAAAGAATTTTCATTTGAGGTTTTTTGTTGTTTTGTGCTCACATTACCAAATTCTGTTATTCTCTAACTACAGATCTATTTTCAGGCTTAGAAACACATTGTTCCAGTAGTCATTCTGATCAAAGAGAAGAAGCCAGAAGAGTCTGAAGTGCTTCCTCACAATGGTCAAGCGTGCCTGGGAGTCTCACCGTGAAGCTGTTGTTGACGTTTTTGGTGCTGGATTCAGCCACACTGGCATCTGTCAGGTCCACCTCATCAAATATGATTGACTGGAGATTAAAAAAAACACACATATACAAGGACTCAGCACACCAAGGCAGGGGCATCCCAAACCCTGGCTAGCACAGCACCCTACTCTCCCTTCACCTACACAAGCCCAATTCTTGAATCTGTGCTATCTGGTCAGTAAGCCAATGCTACCTTAACACCCTGCCCCACTTGATTCTCACAACCAGCACTGAGTTCAGTGATAATGCATGGCTGTGCTTTAATCCACAGAATTTATTACTAGGAGCTGGTAATGTGGCTTAGTGGTAGAGTGCTTGCCTAGCAAGCATGAAGCCCTTAGTACCCCATAAACAGAAAAAGCCGATGTGGTGCTGTGGGCTCAAGTGGTAGAGCACTAGCCTTGAACAAAAGAAGCTCAAGGGGCTGGGAAGGTGGCTCAGTGGTAGAGTGCTTGCCTTGCATGCCTGAGGCCCTGGGTTCGATTCCCCAGCACCACATAAGCAATAAGAAAAAAGCCGGAAGTGGCGTTATGGCTCAAGTGGTAGAGCACTAGCCTTGAGCTGAAGAGCTGAGGGACAACGCCCAGGCCCAGAGTTCAGGCCCCATGACCGGACCCAAAAAAAAAAGAAGCTCAAGAACAGTGCCCAGGACCTGAGTTCAAGCCCCAGGACTGGCCAAAAAAAAAAAAAAATCATTACTGATCGCACTGGAAAATAAGACAACAAATGCTAATACTTTTACACTTATTCTTTGTACTAAACACTACCATTAATGCCACTGATTCTGGTATTCAGTGCTTACTAAACACTACCATTAATGCCACTGGTTCTGGTATTCAGTGCTTTTATTTATGTGTGTGTATGCATATGTAAGTATATATATCTGAGTGTGCATATGCATGCGTGCAAATCCTGGGAACACAGGGCCTAGGTACTGTCTTAAGTTTCTTCTGTTCAGAGCTGAGGACCAGACTCGGGGCCTTGTACTTGTCAGGCAAGTATACTTCCACTGAGCTAAATCTCCAACCTTTCCCTTAGCTTTTTTGCTCAAGGCTGGCACTATACCACTTAAGTCAGAGCTCTACTTCACTATCACTATCCTCAGATCTCAGCCTCCTGAGTAGCTAGATTATAGGCATGAGCCACTAATACCTGGCTATATTCCCTGCTTTTAAATGTGAAGTATGTCCTCAGTCTATGTTCCAGCTGGGTCCAGATGGATCTCTGCCCTCTGTCTATAGTTTCTCCAGTCGGCACATGTAGGAAAGGTTCTAGCTAAAATAATGTACCGTATGGGAAAAGAGACTTTTTCTTTTTTTTCTTTTTTTTTCGTGGGGCCTGAACTCTGGGCCTGGGAGCTGTCCCTCAGCTCTTCAGCTCAAGGCTAGCGCTCTACCACTTGAGCCACAGCGCCACTTCCGGCTTTTTTCTTTTTGCTTATGTGGTGCTGAGGAATCGAACCCAGGGCCTCAGGCACGCAAGGCAAGCGCTCTACCACTGAGCCACCTTCCCAGCCCCGAGAAAAGAGACTTAATAGAGGAGATCCAGCAATAAGGAAAAGCAGAGAGCCAGGCAAAAGGCATCTAGTTCTGGAAAGTTACCCAAACTCCAATGAGAGCTGGGAATCAGGCTTAGGGATACCCCCCTCCCCAATTTTCCTTCCTTTCTCCCTCAAGTACCCAGATATAACTCCTACTCCAGATCCCTCCTTACTTCTTTACCTTCCTGTTCCCTCTATTCTAAGACGATTCCATTGTGAACCCCTGGAGGAAATATTAGTAACCAAGAAAATAGGTTCAATCTTCACCTTCCCCCACCAACAGGCCCAAAATAGCAGTTTTTAAAAACTGAGGGTTGTGGTCAGACCCTTTCTAAGCAGGCTGCTTTACTCTATTTCAAATTTTAGCACACTAACTCTCTAGGGACACATCTCAAAATGATTTCCAGGTTTTTTTTAAGTATTAGGACTGCCACCAACACTGAGAGGAAAACAGTGTTGAGAATCTCAGCCCACATACCAGTGTGTGCAGTGTCTGACAGCCCAGTCATTGTGTGTACCGGTGAAATTCACCAGCTCCTCCTCAGAGAGCACCGGCTTTGAGTCTTTCCTGCAGTGGACACTCAGAATGAGGGCTGACTGCCGGAAAGCCTAGAAATAAAAAATCCCTGTGCTCTCTTTGGAAGTGCATATACTAAAATTAGAAATGAAGTAGAATCTCACACACTCACTTTAAAACAACTTTTAGCCCATAATAGAGAGATCCCTGGGGTCTGAAAAGAAGATATCTAACTAGAAGACAGTTCTATAATCATTTTTCCATTCTTACAGAAAAGTGAATAGAAACAGTATTTATTTATAAGCAACAAAATATGCTTTGAGACAAATAAACCCTGACAGCTTAGAGTGTTGAAAACTAGCTGCAAGTAAATGGCCTGCAATCAACTCCTGCCCTGGAGCACTGCACATGCAGCGGCCACAGGTGTTCTCCCCAGCCTCACCTTTGCAGTTTTGGCGTAGTACAGGGTCCGCCCTCGGAGCTTGAAGTATCTCCTCTTTGATCGCTGGAATGAGTTGTTCTGTTTGGTCAGCATACCTTCTTTGATGATGGTCTGAAAGCACAGGAACATACTTGTGAATGTGCGTTTCTGAAGGGCCTCTTTGCCTGGCTGACTGAAACACACCCTGTGGTGGCCATGAGCCTTTGTGTCTCTCAGGAGCGAGCAGCCTACCAAGAAAAATAGTTCTCACACTCTGACAAACTTTGACCCTTGTGCGGACCAAGCACCGCTGGGGGAGGAGGGGGCACCACAATCCTCTCGGGGCAATGCAATGATTGTGTGGGCGAGGTGTCAGCAGCCCAGCATGTGCCCTAAATACACTCAGATTAGCAAAGGGGAAACTGAGGCTCATGGGACTGCAGTAAGCAGTAGCTGGGGGACAGCTGGAACACGGGTCTGGTGCGTTCTCCAACGTCAGCATTTGGTGTTTTCAGCTATTCTTGGCCCCGTCTCCATGCTCTCTGGCCTCCTGCCATTTCTCAGGATCCTGTTGCCAAACTGTCTACATCCATCTCTGGGGTTGAGCACAGTTCCAGGCCTGTGCTCCATTTGGCCATCTGCACTGTTCATTGGCCAGTAGAGGCAGCTAATCTGTACACTGAGAGAGAACAGTGCCAAGGCCTGATGCCTGTCCCACCCACAGAACCCACCTCACACAAGAGTGCCCAACACTCCCCGGAGACAGCACATGCTCAGGGAGCTTCTCAGTCACAAGATTCGCTGAACCATACAGAGCCACGAGTACAGTCCACTAATAACTGGGAAGGGACAGGGCACCGGTGGCTCATACCTATAATCCTAGCTACTCAGAGGCTGAGATCTGAGGATTGCGGTACAAAGCCAGCCCGGCAGGAAAGTCCGTGATACTCTTATCTCCAAAAAACCACTAGAAAACCAGAAGTGATGCTGTGCTGCAAGCGGTAGAGTGCTAGCCTTGAGCTGAAGAGCTGAGGGACAGTGCCCAGGCCCAGAGTTCAAGCCCCACGACGGACCAAAAAAAAAAAAAAAAATGGGAAGGGGATGGGGCCCAGTGGCAGAGTGCCGGCCTAACAAGTCCAAGGTCAGAGTTCTAGCCCTGGCATTGCAAAGAAAACAACCCACTTGCAAAAATGAAAAAAAAAAAAAACAACAACAAAAACCAGAACCTGATACCCTGCTTGGTACTTTCTTACACTATGCCTCACAAACACCCATGCCACAAGGAGCCTCAGCACTCCCGTCCAGTTTGTACTTTAGTTTACTTTACAACAGTACATGTACAAAGTACACACACGAAGTACACCCAAAGCTACTTTAAACTTCCAAAGGTAAAGCCTGAGTGAATCAGGTCACCCAAATATGCCAGGATGTGTGAGAAGCACGTTGGCCTGTCTGGATTCCCATAAGCCTGTCTATCACAGGAGGAGGAGGACAGAAAAGACTCCTGAGGTTGCCCCCCACCCCTGACACCACACACAAAGGGTCAGGCCCAGTAACACAGGGTCTCTCCCTCTCCTTCTCCCTCACCCACACTTCTGGAGGCTCCCCTCTCTCCCACAGCCCCCTGGCATGGAGTCTGCTCTGAGACTAGCCCGCTGCTGCTGTCAGCCTCCTCCAACTCCCTCAAAAATTGCTATGAGTCTACTTTCTCATGTGTGGCTTTCCCTTCACCCTACCTCTGAAGAGGTCACCTACTCCCTTCTCCCAGGAAGAAAGAAATGAGAAAGTCAACAATATCCCACAGTCCAGGGAGACACACACCAGCTCTGTCACGAACACAAGCAGGCCCTGTACTGAAACAGAACAAGGTACAATAGCTAGGGCACAAACCATGGCAGCCCAGAGGCACCAGTGACCAGCTTTGCCTCTGAGCATCCTTCCAGACCCAAAAGCACATGGCGACACTCACATCAGGCCATCTGCACACAGCAACAGCAGTCAGGATGCCTGGACACAGGGATCCTCTCTGTGGATCTCAAAGAATTCATGCTGCACAGACGTCCGTCCCCGTCATTCTCCAACCCCCACCCCCACCCCCACCATGGAGCTTCCTTACCTCGACAGGGGAAGAAAGTGCTGCCATCTCTTTCCTATATGCAAATTTAAAAATACCAGAAAAGATAACTAAACCAGCAAGCCAAAGCCCGGGAAAGTTTACAAATTATCTTTAAAGAACAGATGCTAAAGTACTTTCCCTACATCTCCTGCTACTCATACATAAAAGAAAAAGCAGAATGAAAACACAACATGCTTGTGTATGCACGCACGCACTTGTGCACACACATATACACACACCCAAAACAATCTTTCACAAAGCGGATGAGAGCCTGTATCTCAGGCCGACCAAGGAGACCTGCTGTTCTATTTATAGAACAAGCATGCTCAGAAAAAGACTGGTGGGTTTCAGCGGAAAAGGCTGAGGAGAAGATAAAGACCAGTATTTCTTTGAAGCTTTTTCACAAAGTACATTTCTTCTCCTCATTTGCTGCATCTAAATACTATAGGCATGTTGCCAAATATTTTAAAATATCAAGCCAAAGCAATGGTCAAGAAAATCATGTGCCATGTTTCGCACTGGTGGCCAGTAAGAGGCAGCAGGGAAAGGCTGGCCAGCGGGCAGCACTGCCCAGTCGGGGCCCATGCCTCCCCTCAGTTCTGCTCCCACAGAAGGCTAACCACAAGTTCAGTCCTCTGGAGTGCCCTTGCTTCAATCAAAGACCTGCAGCTCACACGGGCACCAAGAAAATGCCTAGCCATCAGCAGATGGCAGAAGAGCAGCAAGCTGGAAAGCCATCACTCCAATATTCCCAGCTCTAGGTAGGATAAGTCCTGAAGCAAAACCTGGAGCCCAAGTGAGGAAACCCACACAGCCCTGGGAGCCATAGCCCCCTCCTGACGTGACAGACGCACAGGCAGCCCACAGGCCCAAGACCACATCCAGGGGGACCAGGAGTCTCCAATAGTCTCTACTCAAGAAGACAGTTCCAGCTGGGTGCTGGTGGCTCATGCCTGTAATCCTAACTATTCAGGAGGCTGGTATTTGAGGACTGCAGTTCAAAGCCAGCTGGGAAGAAACTTATTCCAACTAACTAGCAAGAAGTCAAAAGTGGAGGTGTGGCCCAAGAGTACAACACCAGTGATGAGGAAAGACACTATACGGCTAAGTAACCAGTCCCTGAGTTTGAGACCCAGTGTTGGCCAAAAAAGGGGAGGAAGGAGAGGAGGAAGAAGAGAACAGGAGGAAGAGGGAGGGGGAAGAAGAGCCAGAGGTCCACCAGGCCCTCTCTCTGGAAGGGACCATGGGTCCCTGGATCCAGTGGCGGGAGTGGAGGAAAGAGCTCAGGGACAGCGCCCAGGCCCAAGTTCAAGCCCCACGACAGAAATAGGATAAGACAGACAGGCAGATAAATAGATGGATAGAAGCCAGGTGCCAGTGGCTCACGCCTGTAATCCTTGCTGCTCAGGAGGCTGAGATCTGAGGATTGTGGTTCAAAGCCAGCCCGGGCAGGAAAGTCCAAGAGCCTCTTATCTCCAATAAACCACTCAGAAAACTGGAAGTGATTTATCTCCAATAAACCACTAGAAAACCGGAAGTGGCACTGTGGCTCAAGTGGTAGGGCACTAGCCTTGAGCTGAAGAGCTGAGGGACAGCGCCCAGGCCCAGAGTTCAAGCCCCACGACCGACCAAAAAAAAAAAAAAAAAAAAAGATAGATAGCTAGATAGGGATACAGGGTAGAAAGCCCAGGTGACTCCACAAGTGTCCAGCTCAAGGAGAAGAAGGATCTGTTCATTCTAAACATGCTGAGTGGGCTGGGAAGGTGGCTCAGTGGTAGAGTGCTAGCCTTGAGCTGAAGAGCTGAAGGACAGCGCCCAGGCCCAGAGTTCAGGCCCCACAACTGGCAAAAAAATAAAAATAAACAGCTGAGTATGCAGGGAGCCTAAAGCCGGGAAGTTCAGAGCAGAACCGGCACCAGCAGACCAATTTGTAAAGATGCTGGACAAGGTCCGCTTGAACATGTGAGAAGGCATGAGATTCAAGGAGGCTCAAGGGAACAGGGACCCCACACCAACGGTAGAAAAGAAGAGAGGAAGGAATAGGAGAGCACATGCAGACGGTGGGTGAAGGCCAGCTGCGCGGTAAGGTCGCAGGGAGACCTGGGAGATCAATACTTGTGGAGCAGGCTGGGTGGCCGGGCAGAGCACAGAGCTGCTCGGCACAGGGAACAGGCCCAAGGGGAAAGAAGGAAGCCACCTTACTGTTAGGGAGGAGGTGGAAGTTGCTCCACAGGTGGCCTTAGTCCCCTCCTGCCCCTGCCCTAAACACAGACACAGCGAGGGCTGTGGTGGGCACACTGAGCCGTGACTTCAGGGAGCAGCACCATGCATCCCACGGTAAAAGTCCCTGTCCACTCTAGCTAGTACTGAACTGAACGCTGGTGTCCCCAGGATCTGAGGCGCCTCCCCCACGCTGTTCACCGGCTCTTCTGACCCCACTCACCCCTGCCACCTGTGCTTCACACACACACCCTAACTGGCTGCCCCACACCACTGACTCCTCGTGTTGAAATACTCAAGGTTGTGCCCTTCCTCTTCCTGAGTTCGGGTTTCCACCTCAAGCTTTCCTGTCTCCTGTCTCGGTGCCTCAGTATCTCTCACAGTGTAACCCCAGGGGTGGGGTATAGCTTAGTGGTGGTGGAGCAATTTCCTGCCATGGAAAAAGCCCTGGGTTCTGTACCCAGCACGCACACACACACACACACACACACACACACACACACACACACACACACGAGCCAGCCCCTGGCACACGAGGAAAAGCCCTGGGTTCTGTACCCAGCACACACACACACACACACACACACACACACACACACACACACACACACACACACACACACACACACACACACACACGAGCCAGCCCCTGGCACACGAGGAAAAATTTGGCATACTCCATGCTCTGAATCCTAGGACAGCCCAAGTGGTCTAGGCGCTGGAGACGAGGTATTGGAGGCTATCATCCTTCCTGCAGCCCGCCACCACAGTCCCCTCGGCCAACGGCGGCTCCAGC